CATACATTGATGATTACCAACAAAGGTCCATCTAGTCAAGGCTATGGTTTTTCCAGTGGTCATGTATGGATATCAGAGCTGGACTATAAAGAAAGCTGAGTGCTGAAGAATTGATGCTTTTGAACTGTGGTGTTGGAGAAGACTCTTGAGAGTCCCTTGGACTGCAAGGAAATCAAACCAGTCCGTCCTAAAGGAGATAAGTCCTGAGTGTTCATTGGAAGGACTGATGTTGAAGCTGAAACTCCAACACTTTGGCCACCTGATGCGAAGAGCTGATTCATTGGAAAAGACCCTGATTCTGGGAAAGATAGAAGGCAGGAGGAGAAGGGGACAACAGAGGATGAGATGGCTGGATGGCATCACCGACTCAGTGGAGATGAGCTTGAGTAAACTCCGGGAGTTGGTGTTGGACAGGGAGGCCTGGCGTGCTGCGATTCATGGGGTCGCAAAGAGTCAGATATGAATGAGCGACTGAACTGAACTGATGATTACAGCTTAAGTCTATTATTTCGCTAAAGGTTAGGAAAGGATGTTTTTCAGATTATGTTATTCTTTTGCCATTTATTAGCTCGAATTCTGTGAAGAATTCTCCTTTGTCAACTTCTTGGTTACCCTGAAATATATTTTTTCTGTGAAAAGGGAAATAACCTTGTTTTTTTCCCTTTGCTTGTCATTTTTGGAGTAATGAGTTGGTACTCTGGCAGTCTCCAAAGGTGACTGGTGAATGCTTTTTTCCCCTGTGTGTATCATTATGAACTCATAGGTGTTAATATCCTTGCAGTCTTCTTTTTCCAGAGGATACCCTAATTTAAGTTTCTCTCTTTTAAAAATAATTATTTTAAAAATATTTTTTAATCTTTTGGCTGCTTTGCACAGCATGTGGGATCTTAGTTCCCTGACCAGGGATTGGACCCTGCATTGGCAGTGTGGAGTTTTAACCACTGGACCACCAGGGAAGTTCCTCTCTCTTTTTTAAAGAAAAAGCTCATTTTTTTTCTGCCCAGGGCCAGTGGGAGCCTCTGGCTGAGGCCCTGTGTTCATCCTGCATCTAAGCAACCCATGAGTTCTGTGGGGTCCACTTCCTGCCCACCTGACCCCTCGCTACCGCCACCAGGGTCCACAACTCTGCTTCCTTGATTGCCATTTCAGGAAAAGAGCAGAGTGCCAAATATTTGAAAACACACGCCTGATCCTATCAGTCGTCTGTTTAAGTAGCTCTCTGTAGCTCTTGGCATAAAGTCCAGGCCCTTGGATGTGGACGTCAGAGCCCATTCCGTCTGGCCTCTCCCGTCTCCCCGGTTTTGGCTGTCACTGTGCTTTATCTGGGTTGTTCCACCACTCCCTGCCCGAGTGCCGCACCCTCTCCGTCAGGGCTCCCAGTTTCTGCTGCCTGCCTTCACCTCTCCCTGGCTAACTCTTCTTCATCCTGGGGCTCAGCTTAAACCAGGCATTCTCAACGCTGACTGTACATTACATCATCTGGGCAGTTTTAAGAAATACCAAGGCATGGGCTCCACCCAAGATCAATTAACATCTGTATGTCTGGGTGATGAGGCTTGACTTTGCTATATTTAAAAGCTTGGGCAGGTGATTCTGATGTGCAGCCAAGGTTGAGAATCACAATTTGAGGTGTTCCTTCCTCTGGGAAATTCGTCTTTGTCCCCCAGGCCTGGGTTACAAGCTGTTTATTTCTGTTGCCATCTTCTGCTCTTGTCCTGTCCCCCAGCTGTACTCGATATAATTGGATAACTGTATATGTTTAAGGTGTACACCCCGGTGGTTTTATCCTCATTTAATCATCTAGGACTCACTGTGTTGATTCTTGGGTTTCTTCCTTACTAGACAGAAGCTTCACGTGGGCTGCGGCTGCATCCGTGTGGTTCCCCTGTTATTACTCAGCACATAGTAGGTGTTTGTAATTTTTATAAGTAGTTATTAAGTTGGTGTTTGGGCTGTATTTTGAGGTTGTTTGAACGCAGAGACGGTGGTGGTGCTCTGTTCTGTGGGATTAAGCTGGATTTCACCTTCTGCCGGATCACTTCTCTCTAAGCTCATTTCCTACTTTTCTGAACTGCTTCTCTTAGACAAGGAGATTTGTGGGATCTTAGTTCCTTGACCAGAGATTGAATCTGCATCCTCAGCCGTGACAGTGCAGATTCCTAATCCCTGGACAGCTAGGAAATCCCCAAGAAGCAGACTTTAGACAGCCCTTTCCTCTTCCCAGTTCTACCCGAAGTCGCTCCCTCACTTTCTACTGGTCTGAAGAATTTCCCCAACCTCTGAGCTGCCTTTGAACTCCTAGAACTTGTGGGAAACCCTTATTTGATATTTAGTTGTATACATGCTGTGAGATGTTTTCAAAATCATCCATTGGGCCACAAGGTATAAGAAATAATTTTTATATTTTTGTTAATTTCTGATTTTTGAATGGCGATTAAAGCATTGCTTACTGGAAGAAAAAAGGATATTGACACTCTGGCATTTGAAAAAATGATTCTTAAATTAGTTTTTTGTTTATTTTTGGTAAGTAAAGCTTTCCAGCTGTCCCTTAGCAGTCTCTGAATTGTTTAACTTTTAATCACAATGCTTTTTTTTTTTTTTTGCCATGCCCACAGCAAGCGGGATCTTAGTTCCCCAACCAGGGATCAAATCCATGCCCCTGTGGTGGAAGTGCAGAGTCTTCACCACTGGACCCCCAGGGAAGTCCCACACTCACAGTACTTTAACTCTCTAGTTGGATTTCAAGCCAAGTGTGATCTAGGACCCTTGGTCTTATGGTTGTTTCCAGATATGGCTTCAAGGGCAACACTCAAAAGTTTCATGGACTGTTATGCTGCTATGAAAAAAAGATTTTTAAAAAATGCCTAAAGATGTACAAGAAATTTTACCAACGATTGTTGTTCAGTCTCTAAGTTGTGTCTGACTCTTTGCAACCTCATGCACTGTAGCACGCCAGGCTTCCCTGTCCTTCACTGTCTCCCTGAGTTTGCTCAAACTCATGCCCATTGAGTTGGTGATGCCATCCAACCATCTCATCCTCTGTCACCCCCTTCTCCTCCTGCCCTCAATCTTCCTCAGTGTCAGGGTCTCCTTTCCAATGAGTTGGTTCTTCAAATCAAGTGGCCGAAGTATTGGAGCTTCAGCTTCAGCATCAGTCCTTCCAGTGAGTATTCAGGGTTGATTTCCTTTAGGATTGACTGATTTGATCTCTCTGCTGCCCAAGGGACTCTCAAGAGTCTTCTCCAGCTCCACAGTTCAACAGCATCAGTTCTTTGGTGCTCAGCTTTCTTTATGGTCCAACTCTCACATCTGTACATGACTACTGGAAAAACCATAACCATTGTTAACAATGGAGGACAAAAATTAAATGGTTTCTTGTAGCCCTGGGTCGGGAAGGTCCCCTGGAGAGGAAGTGGCAGCCCACTCCAGTATTCTTGCCTGGGAAGATCCCATGGATAGAGGAGTCTGGTGGGTTGTATGGTCCAGAGCATCAAAAAAGAGCTGGACGTGACTTAGCGACTAAACAAGAACAACAACAATTTGTAACCCTGGTCCTGTTGCTACACGAGGTCTGTTGCTGCCTTTTTCCATCCACCAGAGGGCAGTGTTCTATTCTACCTAAGAGTCGGCCTCCCGTTTGAAGTCTTCTCTTTCAGCTCCTAGCATTTCGCCTTCTGAAGTGATCCCCAAACAGTGTTTCCTGAAATTTGATTTGATTCTAGAAATACAACTTACATTGCAATACCACGGAGATATACACCCGTATGCAAATCTATATATGCCTATATAACTAAAGTTTCATAAAATAACACTGGTCTTTGTAGAGAACAGACCTGTGGTTGCCAAGGAGAAGGGGGCTGGGGGAGGGATGGATGGATTGGGAGTGTGGGGTCAGCAGATACAAACTATCATGTAGAGAGGGCAGAGACAGCAAGGTCCTACCGCACAGCACGAGAACTATGTTCAGTACCCTGTGATAAATCATAATGGAAAAGAGTATGAAAAAAGATGTATATGTAGGTATAACTGAATCACTTCGCTCTACAGCAAAGATTAATACAACATTGAAAATCAACTACTTCAATAAAATACAATTTTTTAAATAACACTTGTGTCTACTATGTGTAATACTGATCTTTCTTTTTCTATTCTCTTTCATTTAGAAAAGTTCTCATCACCCAGATTGAGTTCACGATTCACACACTGGGTCGCAGATATTGCCCTCGAGTTCATTTAGAATGGCATCCTGCATTTTTATGGATGAAGAGACACAGGGTTAGAGAAGGATGCTCGGTCATGGTGGGACTCAGAGCAGCAGCTAGGAAAAGATTTCAGGGCCTCGGACTTGTGGCCTGCTGCTCTCAGCATGGTGACATTCCTGCTGAGAGAAATGCAGGGCTCCAGCAGGGCATGGCCACGGGGCGGGGGGGAAGCAGTGTGTGCATGTGTGTGTGTGCATGCGCGCGTGCGTTGCCGCCCCCACGGGGCGGGGGGGAAGCAGTGTGTGCATGTGTGTGTGTGCATGCGCGCGTGTGTTGCCGCCCCCACGGGCCGGGGGGGAAGCAGTGTGTGCATGTGTGTGTGTGCATGCGCGCGTGTGTTGCCGCCCCCACGGGGCGGGGGGGAAGCAGTGTGTGCATGTGTGTGTGTGCATGCGCGCGTGTGTTGCCGCCCCCACGGGGCGGGGGGGAAGCAGTGTGTGTGTGTGCATGTGCGCGTGCGTTGCCGCCCCCAGCACACTGGGTTTGAGAGGAGTCCCCGCTAGCAGGGGGACTCTTTGGTAATGTAACTTCAGCATCTCAGCCACTGATTGTCACATTAGTGCCAGCCTCTGGAACTTTGCATGTAGGTCCTCCTCGCTCTAACTCATCAGTGGTTTGTTTTATAGCCCAGAACCAGGCAGGTACACAAACTAAATGGGTAGGGAGTCCCTCACCACCGTCCAAACATCTGCTTTCTGAGGGTGGAAGTTCTCATGTGGTCCAATCCTTGCCCTGTAGAACGCCACCCAGAGAACATTCCAGATCGACTACCACCATAACCGCTTCCTCAAGGATGGCCAGCCCTTCCGCTACATCTCAGGAAGCATTCACTATTTCCGTGTGCCCCGCTTCTACTGGAAGGACCGGCTGCTGAAGATGAAGATGGCTGGGCTGAATGCCATCCAGACGTAAGTAAGAGGGCGCTGGGCTCCCCTCCAAGACAGAGACACCCACGCCTGGAGTGGGGGGCCAGCTGCATCTCTCTGTGCAAAGGTTTCGTTGCTCAGAACGGGAATAACATGGCCTGGTGTCCCACTCCAGTATTCTGGCCTGGGAAATCCCATGGACAGAGGAGCCTGGCAGGCCACAGTCCATAGTGTTGCAGAGAGTCGGACACGAAGTGACTTAGCATGCACAGTCTCCTGGGAGAGGTTTGTCATGGGCTTGGGTGTCACTTCTTTAGACAGTTAACTACTTCTTCCAACCTTGAACTTTGTCAGAAGAAATCATGAAATGAATATCAGCTTAAAAAGGCAAAGGGAAGTAACAGTGATTGAGGATTTGCTGTGTGCAGGACATACGACATGGATGATGCCATTTCTCCAAGTTCACTATTACCGAATGCAACTGATAAATCTGAAATTTGCCGAGGCATGTGCTTTTGGACGGAAATCCAGTGTGTTCGTAGGCGGCCATAGCTCCTCTCAGCTCCTAGGGGAACATGCCTTGTTGGGTAGATCCCTGAAACCTAGTTTGTCTTTGTGGTTCTGCTGGGGTGATTCTATGGCCCAGGGTTACAGAATCACCCCCAATAACTATCTCTCCTCATCTCTTCTGTTTGTTTCAAAGTGACTAATTGAGAAGGAAGTTGGGGTGGCTGGCCACTCTGGTTTTTGTGTTGCTGATGTGGATTGCTGATAACTTTTCAAAGATAAAGTATGAGGAAATCCAGCGGCAGACTCCTGGGACAGATGGTTAGGGAGAGCCCCACTCATTCTCCTGGTTGTAGGACCACTGGGGCCTGTCTGTAGTTTTAGCCCTAAAACTAAGGTTTTAAGACTAAACCAAGTTCTCGGAGACCAAAATGGTTCCAGGGAACCCTGAAACCATAAGTCAGGGGTCATCAGAGAGACCTTTGTGATGGCAACGGATAGCTTCGTATTTAAATTTGTGTCCAGTGCTGCAGGCAGTCAGGGGAACTGGTCAGAGTTCTTGTTACTTTACCTCCTTCAGGGTATTCCTGATAAAATTTTTGGTTAGGAGGACACAGGGTTTGGAGGCTTTTTCGTTTTTATTGAAAAACATTTTTCAAAAAGTAAGTATATCGCTTATGACCTTAACACGGATAACTTTCATTTTTCCTAAGCCTTACCCAGGCATATGTAATTTTTACACAGTAGAAGTTTGTGTCCATGTAACTATGTATTTTTTCTTTTTTGGCCATGCCTTGTGGCTTGCAGGATCTCAGTTCCCCAACCAGATACTGAACCCCAGCCCTGTCAGTGAAAGCCCAGAATCCTAACCACTAGGCCACCAGGGAACTATATATATATATATATATATATATATTTTTTTTTTTTTTTTAAATCAACCATTAAATAGGAATGGGCATCTTTTGTGGAACATACACTTAAAAGTGTCCCCACAAGTTTGATTATCTGGGTAGCTGCTGTGAAAGCTCAAAACAAGAGTTTTTTCTCAAGAGCTGCCTTAGGAAGATGTTTGTGTGTGTCCTGTGGGTTTATAGTTCTGCAGAGTGGTTTAGAAATTTGTATGGGACACCTGGACTTTTGAGCTATTTTCAGGAAGGAGCCGTGTGCGTCTTGGCAGGTATGTGGCCTGGAACTTCCATGAGCTGCAGCCTGGACAGTACAATTTCTCCGGGGACCATGATGTGGAGCATTTCATTCAGCTGGCTCATGAGCTGGGACTGCTGGTCATCCTGAGGCCTGGACCCTACATCTGTGCAGAGTGGGACATGGTAAGTGCGCCTAACCTGGCCTTGTCTGCCTGGTGTGTGGGCAGACGGGGCTCTGGGGGAAAGGGAATGAAAGCGCTGTGGATGAGTCTCATCCCAGATAGCACGGGCCTGTAGCTAAGAAAGCCCAGGTGTCTTTCACCTTAGGAGGTGGCCAGGCAGAGAGGAGCAGGGAGGGGTGAGAAGGCATGGGTCCTCCTCCGGGTGGTCACAGACAGAAGTCAGTTTCCTCATCTGTTAAGAGGAGTTCATGAAGTGACCTCTGTCTGCCCCACAGGGTAGATGTGAGGTTCAGGGGAGCAATCTATAGAAAAATCTTTGATTCTCAAAACATTGCATTCATGCAGAGTGATCTTATTTTTTATTATGTTTACAATATTTCATTGCCCTGAAAGTTACAAACCAGAAAGCCTAGCTCAAATACCTGTTCTGCCTGACACATTTCTTCTTTACTCTCAATGCTAGTAGTATTAATAATTTCTATCTCCCCTAAGACCTTAAAATGGTTTCCTTTTTTTTATTTGTTTGCTTGTTTTCCCATCCTAGGGAGGATTACCTGCTTGGCTGTTGGAGAAAAAATCTATTGTTCTGCGTTCTTCAGATCCAGGTGAGTTGTTAGAGATGTTGTAAGAGAATTTAAGAAAGTTCAGATACTTTATATCCAAAGGGTCAGATACAATATTTCAAAGGCTGGGGTACTCCTGGGTGAATGCTTCTGAAAGTTTAGCAAAAGTGTGGGTGTCCATCATTCTCCATCAGACACTGAGTGTGTAGGAAAGACGGATTGTTTGAACAACCCGACCAGATCTCGTCGATGCCTTGGTAACTGAATTGGCACTGGGCCCTATCTGCGGTTGACTGACTGACTTGAATGCTTTCTCTGCCTCCATTCAGTCTGTGATTTGATGGGGGATGACTCCCAGTTAACCAGAAGGGCAGACGTAGTTTCTGTGGTGGCATCACTGGATGTCTCTTCATCTGCTTCTACAGAGTGATCTGTGAGTGATAGGTTTTTCCCTTATCTAGCTATAAACCCTGATCAGTCTGCAGGCCCCGATTAGCTGCATTTATTGTTGCTGGCGTGTAGTTGACTTACAATGTGGTGCTACTTTCTGCTGTACAGCACAGTGAATCAGCTATGCATATTTTTGAGATTCTGTCTCCATGTAGGTCGTTGCGGAGTACTCAGTAGAGTTCTTAGCTGCATTTCTATCTTCTGAAGACTTCATTTCTCTTGGGGGTGAAGCTGGTCATAAGAGCAGCTAACAATGATTAAATCTGCTGTATAAAAGGCTAGTACATTACACTCTGCGTGCCTTTTCTTCTTAGCGTACTACCCTCACGTTTTACATTTTTAGTGTATTATTAGTGTTTTCCCACGTACTGTCTCATTTAATACATACAGCAGCTTTATGAACTGCGTACTTATCCCCATTTGACAGTGTAAATGTATAGTTGATTAGAACTTAATTTTTAAAAAACTCAGCTGTGACAGAGAAGGACCCGTCACTCAGTCATTCAACAAACATTGGCAGATGCCTTCTGTGCTGCAGGCTTGTGGCCCTAGCGGCAGGGGCAGACAACTCCAGGCGGGACAACTTTTATCAGACTTGGAGTACGCATGATACCCCCGTTTCAGAAGGTAGTGGTTGAATCCAGTCTGTTCGATCTCTGCTGCCAGCTCCAGGATAATAGACTGCATGGTGCCTCTTTGTAGACACAAGGTGTGTGATGGTGTTAAACCTGGTTGTTTTCCAGATTACCTTGCGGCTGTGGACAAGTGGTTGGGGGTCCTTCTGCCCAAGATGAGGCCCCTCCTCTACAAGAATGGAGGCCCGATTATCACAGTGCAGGTAATCATGGAGCCCAGGTGGGTAGGGGGAGGTTTCCATTTATCCACACAGTATATGGGAGTGAAGCAGACGGGAGCCTCATGTGCCTATTTATTTCTTTCTTTTTTCTTTTTAGAATTGAAGTGTAGTTGATTTGCTATGTTGTGTGAGTTGCAGGTGTCCGGCAACGTCATTCGGTTTTAGATTCTTTTCCATTATAGGTTATGACAAGATGTTGAATATAGTTCCCTGGGCCCTACAGTAAGGTCCTTGCAGTTTATCCTCTTGTGTCTATCTCTAAGAGGCAGTGCCACAGACAGTACTTGATTTAAATTGCGTTTTGATAGGGATTTACCATTTTTGAATGCCCTCTGTGAGACTGTGCTGGCTGCCCTACAGATGCCAGTCAGTTATCCCAGCCACCGTCGCCAAAGAGGTTAAGTGACTGGGCCAAGGTCACGCGGCTGGCCGGTGGCACTAAGGATTGCAGCCTGGCTCCCCTCTGCTCCCACGAGCCTTCTGGCTGCAGGGACGCACCCCGGACTGACCCACTTTGGTGTCTGTATCACCTTGGTCGTCGGCTCCCGTGGGTGTGGAAAGAGGATGTGGTGAGCTGGGGCCATTGTGTTTTTTCTCCCACTTCCTGCCCTCACCTTCCTTCTTCCATATGATTTTCTCTTTGCAGTGACTGGTAGATCGAGGAGTATGTCATGTGGCAAGAGTGTTCCAAGAGAAAGATCGGTTCACTTGTGATTTTCGATGTTTGTAAAATGACTTAGGTCAGACAAAACCATGTTTGTTGGTCATTTTGCAAGGGTTCTCTTATTGCAGAGAGTATGTTATGTAAAACTGGCTGTGTCCCGGACCAGCATGGGGTGTGTGCAGCGCTCCCTAGGGGAATGTGGGCCAGCACTTGGGACCAGCACTGTTCACCGTTTGTAGGGATGGTCATGGTGGGGAGGGAGCTTGGCCATTTCTGTGCGCTTAAGATACAGGCTGTAGGGGGTTCCGTGGCGGTCCAGTTGTTAGGACTCTGCCCTGTCACTGCTGTGGCCTGGGCTCACCCCCTGGTCAGGGAATTAAGATCCCACAAGCTGTGTGGGGCAGCCCCCCCACCAAAAAAAAACACTAACAAACGAATATGCAGGTTGCAGCAAGAGGGCTGGGCTGACCAGGGTGCCTGTTCTGACACTGCATGGTAGAGAAAGGCCAGGCTGCTATTCCCAGAGAGATAGCCTACTGGTAGCATTCACTGCCCCCCACCTGTCCTCAGTCTGTACCAGTTAAGCAGATAGGAGCCCATTTTCCTACATGAAGATTTCAAGGCTGAAACTGGATGTGTCTGCCTAGCTGGGTCGTCTTCCTTCCTCTTGATCTCAGGTTTTCCTCAGTTCCCACTGTTTTTTACTTTTTTTGTTGTTGTTGTTGAGTTGCTTAGTCACATTCAACTCTTTGTGACCCCATGGACCATAGCCCACCAGGTTCCTCTGTCCATGGGATTCTCCAGGCAAGAACACTGGAGTGGGTAGCCATATCCTCCTCCAGGGGATCTTCCCAACGAAGAGATCAAACCCACGTCTCTTGCATCTCCAGCATTGACAGGCAGATTTTTTACCATTGAGCCACCTGGAAAGCCCTTTGCTTTTAAGTCACTTTTTTAAAAAAATTTTATTTATTTACTTGGTTGTGCTGGGTGTTAGTTGCAGCATGCAGGATCTTCAGTTGCAGCATGCTAACTCTTAGTTGGGGCATGTGGGATCTAGTTCCCTGACCAGGGATCACACCCAGGCCCCCTGCATTGGAAGCAAGGAGTCTTAGCCACTGGACACCCAGGGAAGTACCCCCTAAATCACTTTCAATTTTTGCTCACAAGTTTTCTGTATCTTTTGGTTATTGAAAGGCACTAAAATGTCATCCCTGGAGAAGGGGATGGCAACCCACTCCAGTATTCTTGCCTGGAGAATTCCATGGACAGAGGAGTCTGGCGGGCCACAGGCCTGTAGCCTGTAGGCAGCACAGAGGCCTGGGGTAGCACAGAGTTGGACACGACTGAGTGACTAACACTTTCACTTTCACTTTCAAAATGTCATCAAATACGAACTCTGCACAGGAGAGCAAAGTTGACTGATTTAGAGGGGTGGACGGTGGGCATGTTTCCTCCTGTATCCATCCCTGGCAACCCCAGGTGACATGAACTTCACTGTGGATCCTGCCAGAGGACTCAGTTTCCTCCTCTTTTTCCTCCCCACATCTCTCTGCCTGCTCAGATCCCACCTAATCCTGTTGCCCCTTGGTAATCAGGAATGGGGGCCTCCTACCCTACAACCTAACTTGTGGGGCACTCGTCATGAGGGACTCCCTCTGTTTATACCTGTTGTTTTGGAAGGTCAACAACTGAAAATGTCTTTGTTGCTTTACAGTAAATCCCCTATGTATGAACGAGTTTCTTTCCAAGAGCACGTTCCTAAGTCTAATTTGTTCCTAAGTCCAACAAAGTTAGCCCAAGTACCCAACTAACACAATTGGCTATATGGTACTGTACTATAATAAGTTTATAATACTTTCCACACAAATAATACATTAAAAAACAAACACAAAAAAGAAAACATTTTCAATCTTACAGTACAGTACCTTGAAAAGTATAGTAGGACAGTACAACAACTGGCACACGGGGGCTGGCATCGAGCGAACAGGCAAGAGCGACTGATGGAGAAGGGAGACGAGGTGGGAGATGGCAGAGCTGAAGGGTCGTCAGCGATAGGGGACGGAGGACAAGCTTTGATTTCATCCATGCCTAATGCTGCTGGTGCAGGTTCTGGTTCCTTGCTGGATCAATTCTATCTGTTGTTCAGTTGCTCGGTCGTGTCCGGCTCTCTGTGACCCCATGGACTGCAGCACTCCAGGTTCCCTGTCCTTCACCATCTCTCAGAATTTGCTGAAACTCATGTCCATTGTGTTGGTGATGCCACCCACGGTCTCCTCCTCTGTCGCGTCCTTCTCCTTCTGCCTTCAGTCTTTTCCAGCATCAGGATCTTTTCCAGTGAGTCAGCTCTTTGCATCAGGTGGCCAAAGTGTTGGAGCTCCAGTTTCAGTGTCAGTCCTTCCAATGAATATTCTGGGTTGATTTCCTTTAGGATTGACTGGTTTGATCTTCTTGTTGTCCAAGGGACTCGCAAGAGTCTTCTTCAGGACCATAGTTTGAAAGCATCAATTCTTTGGTGCTCAGCCTTCTTTATCATCCAACTCTCACATCTGTACATGGCTACTGGAAAAAACCATAACTTTGACTATACAAACCTTTGTCAGCAAAGTAGTATCTGCTTTTCAATACACTGTCTAGGTTTGTCATAGACAAACACTTCTGTCTACTCTCTTGGAAAGTGATCCAGCGATACCTAGGCTGTATCTCTTTTTTTGTTGTCGTAGATGACAGCAGTAGCGCTGGACTGCATTCTGAGCAGCTCCCGCAATCTTTGTGAACTGTTCTACATTTGGGTCCCGTGCCTAGAAAACTAACAAACAGGGGTTCCTCAAGTCAAGAAAATCCCCTTGCCATTTCCCTGCGTTGTGAATCTTTTCAGTTCTTCAGTTTCTTCACCTTCCTCTTGTTTCTCTTCATCCTTTCTCTGGGCACATTCACATCTTTGATAGTTCACAACTTGAAGGTTCGTATGTAGGGTACTTAGGAGCTTACAGGGTGAGATGATTATCCTAGAGCAAGTATCTGCAACCTGCAATAGGGGCCCTCTGCCTGTTGTGGTAAATCAGTGCCATTGGCACACAGCCATTTATGCATCATCTGGGGTGCTCGGGCACCACAGTGACGTACTTGAGTAGCTGAGACGGAGACTTACGGCCCAAAAGCCCCTAGTGTTTGCTCTCTGGCCCTTAACTGAAAAAGTTAGCAAACTCCTGCTCTAGAACAATCAGTGTTCCTTGGAATCTCACTTCGACTTCTTCTGTGTGTCTTTCAAGCCCTTTTCTGTGTGTTTCTCCTTTCCCCTGCCCCGCCTCTCCTTTCCCCTCCTTGGCAATGATAGAGAACTCAAATATACGCTTTGTTGCCAGCATTTTGAGCTTTCACAAGGTGCTGAGTATTGTGCATCGGCTCAGGGACTCCTCATGCAGCCCAGTGGGGAAGGCACACTCACCTCTTACAGACAGACAGACATTTTACAGGTGGAGCCACATGGATGAGAAGAGGCAGAGCTGAGATTTGCACGAGGACTCTTGGGCCTTTGATGTCTGTGCCTGTGACCACAGCGCTCAGCTGTCTTGCCAGTGTGGAGCTTTTCTCTCTTTCTCTAAAAAGCGAACCAAATTATGTGTATGCATTAATTACAATCCCGTTTAAGATACACTCCTACATTTTACTGTAATATAATGATGTTAATGGATAAACAAGGCTTGAAAAAAGTAAGTGAAGATCGACGATGTCAGCTTGGGCATGGCCAGAAAAGAACTCGGGGTGCAGAGGCTGTGAACCCACTTTGTTGCTAGAGCTGACCTTAAAGTTAGCTCTGAACTCCTTGGCAGCCAGACGATGAAGGAAGACACAGCCATTTAAGTACCTGTTTTCTTCTTTTTGGCTGTGTTGTGCAGCCTGTGGGATCTTAGTTCCCCAACCAGGGATTGAACCTATGCCCCCTGCATTGGGAGCACAGAGTCTTCAGCACAGGACCACCAGGGAAGTCCCTATAAATAGCTCTTAATTAAAAGGAGGAAAAAGAAAATGAGGGGGAATGTACCCTGCCAGTGTTTACGAAGCTTTCCTTTATTTGTTTTCAAAGGGACCAGGGCTTGAACCTGCGTCCCCTGTGTTGGAAGCATGGAGTCTTAATCACTGGACCACCCGGGAGGTCCCCATTCTGCCTTTTGAACCCATACCTTGACAGTACAGTCAGAGGGATTCTTGCTGAGAAAACATTCACGCATTAAGCCATTTGGAAGGCAGTGCTTTTCAACAGTGATGGTGGTATTTGGTTCCTCTGCCTCACTCCCCACCCGCCCCACACCCCGACTGTGTCCACAGGCCTCCTGGAGCCACCGGCAATTCTGCAAACAGCCTGCTCTCTGAGGAGCGCTCTCCACCTGTCTCGCTTCCTTGACCAGTGCCTTTCTGTCTAGAGCTGCCTCGGGTAACCCCTCTGGGGAAGCTCTGTCAACCTCCGCTCCCGGCTTCCCTCAGGCTGGACACCTGTTTTCTGGGGGCTCACGGTTTCTTTTGCGTTAACTTTTTATTTTGTGTTGGAGTTAACAATTACTAACAAGGCCGTGATAGTTTCAGGTGCATAGCGAAGCGACTCAGATATACACGGACCCGCTCTCCCCCACCCTCCCCTCCCATCCAGGCTGCCACATAACACTGAGCGGGGTTCCTGCACTGTACAGTAGGTTTTTCTTGGCTATCCACTTTAAGTATAGTGGTGCAGACAGGCTAATCCCCAACTCCCTAACTATCCCTTCTTGGGGGCTCTTGTTCAAAGACAACATATCCCTCGTATCACAAAACTTTGTTTTGTGTTGTGTGCCGGTTGAAATTTTTATGTTTGGGCAACTTGTAAATTTTTGTAAAATTGTGAGCTATAACACACACACATTAATGTGCAGTGAATGAAGCACTGTGGAGAAAACAGCCACAAAATGGCCACCCAAGATGGGAAATGGTATGCAGCCAGGACCCTAGAAGCTTCCTGATCATGCTCTACTTTTTCTCACTGTCCTGACTTTCACGACCATCAGTTTTTTGCTTTTTTTTACACTTCTACCAACCAACTATCTGCACACCCACACTTATAGTTTGTTTTTCACTGGTTTGGATTTTCTGTTCGGGAAGTTGTATTATGTGTATTTTTTTAGTGTCATGCTTCCTTCATTAAACTCTATACCTCTAAGATTTTTTTAAAAAATATTTATTTATTCATTTGGCTGCAACGGGTCTTACTTGTGACTCACAGGCTTAGGTTTTTATGCTGAGTTGCTCTTTGGAAAATGAGTTTTGAGGATCATGTGTAGGAGATATTTAGGGGGAGGGGACCACTAAGCCTCATCATCTCAGAGAGGCTTGGGGAGTTTCTCCAAACAACAGTTTGCTTTAGAATGCTGGAGTCTTCTGATTTCTTTCCCCTCCTCTTTTTTAAACTTTTTTAAACTATGGGATTCCCTGGTGGCTCAGATGGTAAAGCATCTGCCCGCAACACGGGAGACCCGGGTTAGATCCGTAGGTTGGGAAGAGCCCCTGGAGAAGGAAATGGCAACCCACTCCAGTATTCTTGCCTAGAAAATTCCATGGATGGTGGAACCTGGTGGGCTACAGTCCATGGGGTCGCAAAGAGTCGGACACGACTGAGCGACTTCACTTTCTTTTTTAAACTTGCAGGTTGAAAATGAATATGGCAGCTACTATTCCTGCGATTACGACTACTTGCGTTTCCTGCAGAAGCGTTTCCACGACCACCTGGGTGAGGACGTGCTTCTGTTCACCACGGACGGGCTGAATGAGAGGTTCCTGCAGTGCGGGGCGCTCCAGGGGCTCTATGCCACCGTGGACTTCAACGCAGGTTGGTATCTGCAGAAACCCAGTTCAGCCAGCGGATCTGGGCCTTTTACTCGGTCAGTTGCTCTAGGCAGCTATTGTTTAAGTGGCTTGGGCATATTGAGTAGGATTTCCCAAATTTTCCTTTATCTGTAACGGTAAAATAGAATACTTGATAAAGCACCCCTTAGTGGCGGAGATGGTTTGATGTCAGCTGAGTTGGCCCTTAGGACACAGGCTCTGTTTCCAGCCCTGGCGGAGCTGGCTGCAGCCTGGAGTCCTGTTTTCTTAGGGGCATCTGCCAGGGGTTCCCCCAGCTGGAGGAGCTCCACCTTTCAGGCTGTGTCTGGGATGTGCTGTTCTTCTTTGCACCTGCCCGCCCCCCCGCCCTCTGTGCCCCCAAGGTGTGGCTGGATGCTTGGGCCGGGTTCAGGCCACTGTGAACTCTGAGGTCAGCTCTGGAGTGCAGAGAACATACCTGGCACTTCCGTCTTCTTTCTGTATAACTCATAACACTGGGAACTGTGATGGGCCGGAGGTGGTTTGGAAGATGCTGCAAAGAATCGTCTTTCCTGATGCATTCGTGCTGTGTAAGCCACAGTGTGGCTGGGGTGCTCGGGCTGAAATGACATTAAGAAATCTTCATGTGGGTTGAGAGCGGCTTTATAAAAGGCATCATGGCTAAGTGCAGTGTGATCCTGAAAAGGGTCCTGGACTTTTTTCTCTGTTTGTTTTAGTTGTTGTTATTATGAAGGACAATATTGAGACAATTGAAATTTTTGAATAAAGCCTTTAGATAATGCTATTCTATCCATGTTAATTTCCTATTTTTTTTTAATCATTGTATTTATTTAAAGAATGCTCTTGCTCTTAGGGGATACATGCTGAAGTATTTAGGGGTAAAGGACCATCCTGTCTACAATTTATTCTCAAACAGCTCAGAAAAAAAAAATGTGCATATTTATATAGAGAGGAAAAAAAAACAATGGATGTGATAAAATGTTAACAATTGGGGAACCTGGGTGAAGGGAAAATAAGTTCTTTGTATTATTCTCACAGTTTTCCTATAAATTTGGGATGATTTCAAAATAAAACGTTACCCCACTCGCCCAAAAGACCAGCTCTTCAAGTAGCATAAAGACCCCACTGTTGTCCTGTCTGAGGGAGGAGACACGTCCAGCATTGCCTTCTGTAGAGAAGGGTGTTCAGACTGAAGTTGCTTTTTTTTTTTTTTTTTGTAGTCTAGCTAATTGTTGTTTAATCTCTAAGTTGTGTCCAACTCTTTTTGACCCTGTGGACTGTAGCCTGTCAGGCTCCTCTGTCCCTGGGATTCCCCAGGCAAGAATACTGGAGTGGCTTGCCATTTCCTTCTCCATGAAGTTGCATTTTTAAAGAAATTCTTCTCCACTACAAAGAGGTAACTGGCTCCCAGTGAGCTGAGTGTTTCTAGAAACATGATATTGCTCAGAGCGCTTGGTGATGAAGTCAGTCACCTACAAAGAGCTGCACAGGAAGTGGCACGATGGTTTCCTCCTGCTTTGGCACACTTCCTAACACGGCGATGAAAAAGCACAGTGTTTTTCTGCTGGGAGGAACAAATCGAGGATTATCACAAGTTAGTTATAAGTGTTATTTGTATGTGGGGTGACAGCATGGTTGCTACCGCTGTGGGTTCAAGAGCGCACAAGGCCAGTGTGCCTGGGGCAGGTGGGATGGTGGCGACTTCATTTACTGGAGTGTGAAAGGGGCAATGCCTGGGCTCAGATCCCAGGAGCAGCTCCTGAGAGCAGGTTTCAAGATCTGGAAGCCAAAAACTAAAAACACCAAATAGCCCAATCAAGAGATGGAGAAAAGATCTAAGTAGACATCTTTCCAAAGAGGACATACAGATGGTCAAAAAGCACATGAAAAGAGGTTCAACATCACTAATATTAATAATTATAGAAATGTAAACCAAAACTACCATGAAGTATCACCACACATCAATCAGAGTGGCCATCATCTAAAAATTTACAAACAGTAAATGCTGGAGAAGGTGTGGAGCAAAGGGAATCCTCTCACTCTGTTGGTGGGAATGTAAGTTGGTAACAGCCACTATGGAGAACAGTATAGAGATTCCTTAAAAACTAAAACTACTATATGATCCAGCAATCCCACTCCTGAGAGTAGAGCAGAAGAAAACTAGAATTCAAAAAGATACATGCACCCCCAGCGTTAAGTGCAGCACTGTCTACAATAGCCGGGACATAGAAGCAAGCTAAATGTCCATCAGCAGAGGAATGGATAAAGTAGATGCAGTGCACACATGCAGAGGAATATTAGCCATAAAAGAGCGAAATAATGCCATTTGCAGCAACATGGATGAACCTAGAGATTGTCATACTGAGTGACGTCAGTCAGATACAGAAAAGCAAATGTCACATGATATCACTTATATGTGGAATCTAGAAAAAAGGGGAGGTGTAAATGAACTTATGAAATAGGAATAGAGTCACAGATGTAGAAAACAAATACGGTTATCAGAGGATAAGGCGGGAGGAGAGATAAATTGGGAGATTGTTCGCTTCAGTTCAGTCGCTCAGTCGTGTCCGACTCTTTGTGACCCCATGAACCGCAGCACGCCGGGCCTCCCTGCCCATCACCAACTCCCAGAGTCCACCCAAACCCATGTCCATCGAGTCGGTGATGCCATCCAGCCAACTTATCCTCCGTCGTCCCCTTCTCCTCCCACCCCTAATCCTTCCCAGCATCATGGTCTTTTCCAATGAGTCAGCTCTTTGCCTCAGGTGGCCAAAGTATTGGAGTTTCAGCTTCAACATCAGTCCTTCCAATGAACACCCAGGACTGATCTCCTTTAGGATGGACTGGTTGGATCTACTATGTGTTAAATAGATAACGTATAAAAGCTGCTGTATGGCTCAGGGAACTCTCCTTAGTAGTCTGTAATAACCTATATGAGAAAAGAACCTAAAAAAAAAAAAAGAGAGTAGATATATGTATATGTATAACTGATTCACTTTGCTGTACCCCTGAAACTATCACAACATTGTAAATCAACTATACTCCAATAAAAATTTTAAAAAAGATCTAGAAACCACCTAATGCTTAGTTAATAGTGAGAAATTTACAGCCATAAAGTAAATGAAAGTCCACTCTTTCTTGATCATCACTTTCTCTTCTGAGAGCTAGCCTCACAGAGAAGCCCAAGACTTGTCTGATGGCGAGGGGTTATTTGGAGACTTGGCTGGCGTCCTTGCGCTCCGGGACACCTGCTGCAGGAACTGGACAGTGCAGTGTGGGCCAGGGTGTCCTCGACTCTGGCTGGAGAGACACTGTTTGTACTCATTACTTCTCTGTGGAGAAACCCTTTCTCTTTTTAGAAGAGCGGGAGAACAGAAGATGTGGGAAGCAAGATGAGACATAGACATCCTAATGGGACACTTCAGAAGACAAAAATTGAGCACAAGTGGTCTGGAATGGCTTGAGATGTACAAATTAAAATACAGAGTATACTCGGTGATTCAGGATAAATGTAATTAGAGCACGATTTGTCCCTTTGATTTGTTAATTATTTGTTGTTGTTCAATTGCTCAGTCATGTCCGACTCTGTGACCCCATGGACTGCCGCACGCCAGGCCTCCCTATCCCTCACCATCTCCCGAACCTTGCTCAAGCATATGTCCATTGAGTTGGTGATGCCATCCAACCATCTCATCCTCTGTCATCCCTTTCTCCTTCTGCCCTCCATCTTTCCCAGCATCAGGGTCTTTTCCAATGAGTCAGTTTTTTGCATCAGTGGCCAAAGTATTAGAGTTTCAGCTTCAGCATCAGTCCTTCCAATGAACACCCAGGACTGATCTCCTTTAGGATGGACTGGTTGGATCTCCTTATGTCCAAGGGACTCTCAAGAGTCTTCTCTGACACCACAGTTCAAAAGCATCAATTCTTTATGGTCCAACTCTCACATCCATACATGACTACTGGAAAAACTATAGCCTTGACTAGATGGACCTTTTTTGGCAAAGTAATGTCTCTGCTTTTTAATATGCTATCTAGGTTTGTCAATTTTTCTTCCAAGGATCAAGCATCTTTTCATTTCATGGTGGAAGACACTATGTGCAGTGATTTTGAAGCCCCCAAAATAAAGTCTGCCACTGTTTCTACTGTTTCCCCATCTATTTGCCAGGAAGTGATGGGACCAGATGCCGTGATCTCAGTTTTTTGAATGCTGAATTTTAAGCCAGCTTTTTCACTCTCCTCTTTCACTTTCATCAAGAGGCTCTTTAGTTCCTCTTCATATTCTGCCATAAGGGTGGTGTCATCTGCATATCTGAGGTTATTGATATTTCTCCCAGCAATCTTGATTTCAGCTCATGCTTCCTCCAGCCCAGCATTTCTCATGATGTACTCTGCATATAAGTTAAATAAGCAGGGTGACAATATACAGCCTTAATGTACCCCTTTCCCAATTTGGAACCAGTCTGTTTTCCCATGTCTGGTTCTAATTTGTGGCACTGTGATGCATACGGTGCTGTGGAGGCACCAGGAAGTATGTTCAAAGCAGGGTCATCGTGTAGGGAGCAGCTCGGTCAACCAGATACCTGAGTGAAGAGAGATGCACACCAGCCACGTGTCTAGGCTCTGGGGACACAGAGGAAGCGCAAGGCCTGTGTCATGGTCTCCCAAAGGAATGGGGAGAGGCCCAGACACTGTTCACAAAGGAAACATCATTCTGTGGTCCTCACCTCTATCAGATGTATGGTCTGAGTCCCCACTTAAAGCAGTCCTCATCTAAAGCTTGCTTGGAGGTGTGCAGGCCCATGGGGTATGAGGGAGGGCAGGGAGCTGGAGGCTCAAGTCCTGCAAAGGAATCTTTTTTTTTTTTTAATTTTATTAATTTATTTTCAACTGTGCTGGGTCTTCGTGGCTGCACACGGGCTTTCTCTGGTGGCAGCGGGCGGGGGCGACTGTTTGTTGCCGTACACGGGCTTCTCCCTGAGCTGGCTTCTCTTACTGTGGGCTCTGGGCGCTTGAACTTCAGGAGTGGCAGCCTGTGGGCACAGTAGATGTGGCACATGGACTTGGTTGCTCTGCCTCATGTGGGATCTGCCCAGACCTGGGATCAAACCCGTGTCCCCTGTATCAGCAGGTGGATTCTTACCCAGTGTGTCACCAGGGAAAGTCCTCTTTTTTAAGAAATTAATTATTATGCACTTGGCTGCACCAGGTCTTAGCTGCGGCACTCAGGATCTCTCGCTGTGAAGCACAGATTCTCTTGGGCTTAGCTGCTCTCCTGCAAGTGGGATCGAACCCATGTCCCCTGCATTGGCAGGTGGAAGTCCCTGCAAGGCAGATTCTTAACCACTGGACCCACTTCCTTTGGAAAGTCTCCAAACGAATCTTTTTTCTTGAACTTGTCACTCCCATAGCTGACCTCTCTCCTCTTTCTCATTGTTCAGGTACCAACCTCACAGCTGCTTTCATGCTCCAGAGAAGCCTTGAGCCCAGAGGACCCCTGGTAAGAGTCAGGGGTGAGGCATGGGGAGACCACTTGGTCGTACAGACTTCATTTCTGCTGTGGGGGGAGAGTGATGAGGTGCTGTGAAGGGTGGGAGTGGATCCTTGGTTTCCCTGGGTCTGGGGTCAGAACTGATGGGGCTCTAGAGATGCCTTCTGGACACATGGGAAACAGCTGAAGCAATGCTCCTGCTCAACACTACAGCCCTGCGCTGGAGGGGCAACTGAGCCCATGTGCTGCAACTAGAGAAGCCTGCTCGCCGCAACGAAGACCCAGTGCAGTCAAATCATTAAAGAAAGAAAGAAAAATAAATACAATTTATTTTTTCTAATGCAAACGAAAAAAAGAAGCAGAGCTTAATGAGGGGGGATGTTCACCGCGGTCCCCATTCTGTCCCCTCCGGAATGAATCCTAGTTCTACCAGGGATCAAACCCACATCCCCTGGATTGCAAGGCAGGTTCTTAAGCACTGGAGCACCAGGAAGTCCCAGGCTCTGCACCCTGGTGTAGCTTGTCGCCTTCGGTCACAAGTGGTATTATGAGAGCTCCTTTTTCAGTGAGGCTCAGAGACTGTGTTGCGTGCCCCTGCTTGTACACCGGGTGAGTGTGTCCTCAGGCCAGGACCTGAGGTCGGGTATGTGTTTCTTGAGAGTTCTTTGTGACTGAGCTGCCCCGCCTTTAATCTGCTTAGAAATCACATAGGAGTCTTGTGAAAATGCAGACATTGACTGGGTCTGGGGAGGGGGGCACTGAGCTTCCGACAAGCAGCCAGGAGATGTGGGTGCCAGCCGCTCCAGGAGTTGCAGGGTTCTGCGGCATGCTCTGTGGGCGGCTGGGAGGCAGAGACGCCAGTGAGGTCCTGGCAGGCGTGCTCAGCCCATAGTGAACAACGCAGTTGTTGTTGTTACTTGGCCTCACGTAAGGGGTGTCTTCCCTGCAGCAGGTCAGCCTGCCCTGACTGTGTACCCACCTTTGTACAAAGCAGCCTTTTCTGAACCTGGTCTCTGCTTCCTGAGTCATGCAGAACCCATGTTCACAGACTCTGAGTGGAGCTGTTTCCTGCAGCCTGAGACAGGGAGTCCCCAGAACACATCCAGATTTCTCTTTCATTTTGTAGACAAGGGCTTGGCAGGGTCATGCCCAACAGAAACACCAAGCGCTAGAATATTTGGACAATATTTCTACCACACATTAAGTCAGTCTGAGATCTAAAGAATGTCGATATGTCACTGAGATTGGCACAATATTGTAAATCAATTATTCTTCAATTAAATTAAATTATTCTACAATTAAAATAAGTCAACCTGAGATCTGAAAATCTGGATTCAACACACAGGGTGAATTTGGAGCTAATTATTTCATAAACATGTTTTGTCATCTGATTCTTTTGCCCAACAAACTTTCCTCCCTTATTCAACTGGGGATTGATTAACAAGATTTTGATGCAGGTACAGCTTTCCAGGAACACCTGCATTGTCCACACCTGAGACCTGAGTTTAGGCAATGCTATTATGAAATGTCCTCATTGGTCCCCAGTTCCCAGTAAAGCAGTGGATGTCAGCTGCCCTCTCCACCTGTTTTTCAGTGCATAACCTAGGGCAGTAGTTACTGGGATGCCCAGCCATGTGAAGGTTTAAGTCTGTCCTAAGTTCCATATCCCTTTCTTTTTAGATCAATTCTGAATTCTACACTGGATGGTTAGATCACTGGGGCCAACGTCATTCAACAGTCAACCCTAAAGCGGTGGCTTTCACCCTTCATGATATGCTTGCTCTCGGGGCAAATGTGAACATGTGAGTGTTAATTTTTGGAAGGAAGGGTGTCCTCTGTAGTTGTGGGCTCATGGTGAAGCTGTGGGTTCATGATGAGCTGTGGGCTCATCTGTTCTCTTGTTTCTTTGTAGGTACATGTTTATAGGTGGCACCAATTTTGCCTATTGGAATGGTAAGAGCAATTTAACATTTGTTTGTAGAATCTAATGGTAGACTGTTTCTGGTGCTTGATTTTGTCCATGCCTATGGCCATCTGTGATTCTTCTGTTTTGGTTTGTCTTCCACTAAATTTCCTAATATGTAAGATTGCCTATATAATATTAAAAAATCACTTTTTTATTTATTAGGAAGAGAGAAATTTACTTTTGTATTGAGAATAATTTTTTAAAATTGAATATGCAGGTGTTATGAAATAATCAGTGTTATATGAATGAGTAGCATTAGGATGCTTATGAATTACCCTTCTATACTTGTTTTAGATGTTCAGAAGTTATTTTTTACAATTTAATTCAACATTTCAATTTAATTTACAAATGTGTAAGAATCATAGAAGTGGAATTTTTTTCCCTATGTAAATTTGAATTTTTCTAGGTTTTCTTTATTTTAATTTTATTGAAGTATAGTTGCTTTACAGTGTATTTCAGGTATATAGCAAAATGATTCAGATATATAGATAGATAGATATAGATACAGATATATATATTTCTTTTTCAGATTCTTTTCCCTAATAGGTTACTATAAAATATTGAGTTCTCTGGCTATACAATAGGTCAAAAAACCGTTTTTCTTTTATTTGGTCACACTTTACGGCATATGAGATCTTAGTTCCTTGACCGGGGATCAAACATATACCCCGTGCATTGGAAGCATGGAGTCTTAACCACTGGACTGCCAGAGAATTCCTACAAAATCATTTTTCTTTAAAAAATTTTTAAGGGCTGTAAGTTGTACATTTAGAAACTATTGTTTAAAATCAAGCTAACTGGGCAAGTCATAGCCTCTGGCTATAACTTACTTGTTCATATATTCTGGTCTTTTTTTCTCTTTCTTTTTTAAAAAACATTTTGTTGAGGCATAATTCACATACCCTAAAACTGATGATTTTTAAAATATATGATCTAGTGGTGTTTAGTTTAGCACAAACTTGTGCAGTCATTACCACCATCTAATTCCAAAACATTTTCATTACCCCCAAAAGAAACCTCAGACTCAAGAAATGCCTCACTGCCCCTTCTCCCAGCTCTTGGCCACCACTCTTTGTCTTTATGGATGTGCCTATTCTGGACATTTAATACAAGTAGAACCACACAGTATGTGGTCTTTTGTGTTTAATTTCTTTCATTTAGCATAGTCTTCTCAATGTTCATCCATATTATAGTGTGTATCATACTTCATTCTTTTTCATAGAGGAATAATATTCTATTATGTGGATATACTACATTCTGTTCTCCGTTCATCAATGATGGACATGTGGGTTGTTTCACCTCTTTTGGCAATTATGAATAATGTTGCTATGAACATGGATGTGTAAGTATTTGTCTGAACCTCTGTTTCAGTTCTTTTGACTGCACACCTAGGATTGGAATTGCTGGTTCTCATGGTAACTAACTCTGTTTTTAGAGTTTGAGGAACTGCCTCAGTATTTTCCAAAGCAAATGCACCATTCTGATATTTCCTATATGGTCTCTTTTTTTTTTTTTGCCACACCACTTGGCATGTGGGATCTTAGTTCCCTGACCAGGGATTGAACCCTCGTCCCCTGCATTGGAAGCACAGAGTCTTAACCACTGGACCACCAGGGAAGTCCCTACATGGTCTTTTTTTGTGGGTAGGGGAAATTATGATAAAATTCTCCCAGTTTATTTGGTCTGATGACCCCTTAGTGGTTTGCTGCTGATCCGGGGCCCAGAAACCTGTGTGTCTACCGTGGACCTTTTTTTTAGCCACAGAGGAGGTCATAAACAAGATCACAGCTGCAAGGTTAATAGTCAGACATGTGAGTCATGCCATAGGCCTGGCCACTGCTGGCTATGAGATGTCTGGGGGCTTTTTTGGGAGCTTCAGATGCCCTGCCGATCCAGTGTGGGGATATCTGCCGGGGTTGCCAAGAGAGTAAATGGGGAAAGTCCTTTGTAGACACCAGGGTGCTTAGTGAGGGCCATCTGCAGGAAGAAACCTTGCATCTGGAGGGCCACCTCTGTGTCACTTAACAGTTGGCTCTAATGTATTTCCTTATTCACCCCCTCCACAAATCCATAAGAGCCTGTCAAAGGAGAAGGCCTTCTGTAGTAACTAGTGGCATGGTTTTGTCTTCCAGGAGCCAACACCCCCTACCAACCACAGCCCACCAGCTATGACTATGATGCCCCCCTGAGCGAGGCCGGGGACCTCACTGAGAAGTATTTTGCTCTGCGGGATATTATTCAGAAGGTGAGTGCTTTGTGCATGCTCCAGGGGCTGGTCTTGGACCAAGCCTGCCTGGGACTCACGATGCTCTGTAGACATCTTCCTGCAGCCTTTGTGTGCAAGAGGATGGTTGAAGGGAGGCATCAGCTAGACTTGACCCCAAGTCTTGGCCCCACCCGGTTAAGAGTGAGCCTGTCAGCAAGTGAGGCCATAGCACGTGGCTGTGTTGTAAAGATTAGAAAGAACACAGGTAAAGCCTCGGGAATAGTCCTTGCACATACGCTGTCCAGTAAGTGTTAGCCGTTACTATTTTGTATACTAAAGGTATAAATGTCTGTCCACATAAATAGCTGAAGTGTGCGGGAGAGAAAAATCTATGGGCATTGTGAACACAGGGCAAGTGTGAGCTGTCAGCAATGCTTCATTTTTCTGCTTTGGAGCAAGTGATTGCTATTTCCTCCTGGCCTGACACCTGAACACTTAGTCCTGCTAGCGTTGTGACCTTTTGAGGCATCTAACGCACTCAGGTGGGGTTTCCTGTCTCTGTGTGGCTTTAAAAAAAAAAAACCCACAGTTTTTCTGCTCAGTCACCTGAGTTTTGAAGTTAAAAAACAAAGGTTTTCTGCCTATAAATGGTATAAAACTTTTTTTTTTTTGTTTTCAACATAGTCTCAATTTAAGCCTAAGTGTTAACGTTAATATTATGAAATACTTTAAACCTGTTAAAAAGTAGAGTTGATACCTAACTACTCAGAGTTTGTTCATTTCATCTGCATTTTCAGATGTGTGGTTAAAATGTTGCGCGTGTGATTTTTATTGTGGGTTTAATCTCTAGAATTTAGAGTGATGACTCCCAAGTTCTCTCTTGTACATTTGTTCTCTGTTTCAGAGCTCTCTGTTCCTATCTATATTGTTTCCTTCCTTTATTTGAAGCTTAGCTTTTTAAACCAGACTTTGTTCTTTTCTAATATAAATACTCAAGTCTGTACCTTTCCTTCAGGTACTGCTATGGCTCCATCTCGTAAGTCTTGATATGTAATGTATTTATTATTATTTGCTTTTAAACACGCTGTTTTTATTTCTCTTTGACCCGTCAAATGTTCAGAAGTGAGTTTTTAAAATATTAAGCACAAGTATTTTTCTAGTCTGATGGTTTCTCACATAGTTGCATTCTGGTTAGAGAATGTTTTGAGTATAATACCAATCCTTGAAATTTATTGAACCTCCTCATACAGCCTGGCTTATACCAATATGAACAAATATTCCATGTATTCTTGAAAAGACTGCATGTTTTATAATTGTTGGCTATAATCTGTATATGTGTTCATTTGATTAAGCTTATTAATGGTGCTATTGATATCTTTTATAGCCTTCCTAATTTTTGTTAGTTTATTCTATTAGTTATTGAGAGAGTTGTGTTTATGTATTTCTCCTTGTAGTTCTGTCAGTTTTTGAGGCCATATTATTAGAATGCAAATTGAGAATTAAATCTTTTTGTATCATTATATGGAAACTGTCTATCTCTGATAATGATTTTTGCCTTAGAATCTGTTATGTCTGATACTAATATACTTACCTGCATTCTTTTACCTGGTGTATCTTTCACAGTGCTTTAATTTCAAGCTTTCTATATCCTTTCTTAAAAATCATCCCCCAAAACTCTGTCCCAAAACAGAAACAAACTCACAGACATAGAGAACAGACTTGTGGCTGGCAAGGGAGGGAGGGATGGATTGGGAGCTTGGGGTTGGCAGATAGAAACTATTATACATAGGATGGATAAGCAACAAGGTCCTACTGTAGGGCACAGGGAGCTATATTCAATATCTTTGTAATAAACCATAATGAAAAAATAATGTATAAGTGTATAACTGACTTCGTTGTACAGCAGAAATTAACACAACACTGTAAATCAACTTTACTTCAGTAAAAATAAAATAAAAAATAAAAACATACATCCTTTGTAAACAGGACATAGCTAGATTTTTTAAAAATCTCGTTTGAACATTTTATCTTTTAACTGGTGCACCTGCTCGTCATCATTCATTATAATTCTTGATACACATCGATTCATTTCAGCCATCTTGTAATTATCTACTTGCCTACCTTTTCTGTTTTGTCTTGTTTTCTTACTTTCTTTTGAGCTGTTTATTTTTGTTTTCTTGTATCACTGCCCCCTCCACACCCTAATTTGAATGTTATCCTCTACATTTTCACTTCTTTAGGGGTTACCAGTTGAAGCGTAAAGTATGTACACCCCACCCTCCCCACAAAAGCAGAGCTCATTAGTGTAGAACTCAGTGAATTTATAAAGCTCAAACCCCTGGAGCCAGCACACAGCCCCTCAGCAGCTTCCCGCATGTTCCTACTAATTACTGACTTTCCACTGACCTTCATCACTGCAGTGCTTGTTTTTTGACTTTATATAGATGGATTCATACAATATGCACTCCTTTATACCTGGCTTTCAAAAAGCCTTAACATTCAGTTTTAACTTATAATAATTTAAAATTAATCTGTATCTTTACTTCTTTCCTACAACCAGAACTTTATCTCACATTAACTTCAATTACTTCCCTCCTGACTTGCATGCTCTGAATGGTGCGTATTTTAGTAGTGGGCTAGTTGTGGATGTGAATCTTCAAGAGAGATTTGTTTTCTCCCCAGTTTATTGCTGTGCAACAAATTGCCCACAAACTTAGTAGCTTAAAACAACGGATGTTAGGAGTTCCCTGGTGGCCTGCTGGTTAGGATTCTGGGCTTCCACTGTCACGGCCCAGGTTCAGTCCCAAGTTGGTGAATCCCACAAGCTTCATGGCATGGCCAAACATATATATATATGATCTCACACAGTTTCTGACGGTGAAGAATATAGGGTGGCTTAGCTGTATGTTCTAGCTCGTGAATTCTCCTGAGGCTGCAGTGAAAGCTGTTGGTCAAGCCGCAGACTCTAAAGACTTGCGTGGGGCTAAAGGATCCATTTCTTGCTTTCGTTCTTTTTTAAATTGAAGTATAGTTGATTTACAGTGTTATGTTAGTTTCCTGTGTATAGCAAAGTGATTCAGTTATACATACATATACATATTCTTTTCCATTATGGTTTATTACAGGATACTGAACATAGTTCCCGGTGCCATGCAGTAGGTCTTGTTGGTTATCTATTTTATATATATAGTAGTGTGTGTATGTAATCTCAAATTCCTAATTTCTCCCTTCCCCACCTTTTTTCCCCTTTGGTAACCATAAATTTGTGTGTTTTTTTTTTAAATTTTGCTAGTAATTTATTTTTGGCTGCACTGGGCGTTCTTTGCTGCGTGAGGGCTTTCTCTGGTTGTGGCGAGCGGGGACTGCTCTTCACTGTGGCGCACAGACTTCTGCTTATGGCAGCTTCTCTGGTTGTGGAGCACAGGCTTCAGTAGTTGTGACTCTTGGGCTCTAGAGAGTGGGCTCAGTAGTTGTGGCGCCTGAGCTTAGCTGCTCCAAGGCCTGTGGGATCTTCCTGGACCAGGTATCAAACCCATGTCCTCTGCATTGGCCAGCAGATTCTTAACTACTCACCATCAGGGAAGTCCCCATAAGTTTGTTTTCTATGTCAGTGAGTCTGTTTCTGTTTTGTAAATTAGTTCATCTGTACCAATTTTTAGATCTCACATATAAGTGATATTATATGGTATTTCTCTTTCTCTTTCTATTTCATGTAGAATGATAATCTGTACGTCCATCCTACAAAATGGCATAATTTTATTCTTTCTATGGCTTAGTAATATTCCATTGTATATCTGTACCACATCTTCTTTATCCATTCATCTCTCCGTGGACATTTAGGCTGTTTCCATGTCTTGGCTACTGTGAATAGTGCTGCTACAAACATTTTGAATTACAGTTTTTGAATTACATTTTTGTCCAGATATATTCTTAGGAGTGGGATTGCAGGATCATAGAGCAGCTCTATCTTTAGTTTCTTGAGGAACCTCCATACTGTTCTCCATAGTGGCTGCAACAACTTACATTCCCACCAGCTCCCCTTTGAAAGGTCCATCTCACATGGCTAAGGGCAGGTCACTAAAATTCCTTGCCATGTAGGACTATCCATGAGGTGGCTCAAAATGTAGCTTCCCCCACAGTGAAAGATCTGTGAGAGAGCGGGCACCTCCAGATGAAAGTTGCAGCCTTTTTAAAAAAAATATTTTTTAATTTATTTATGACACATGGGATCTTATTTCTCAACCAGGAATTGAACCCATGCCCTCTGCAGTGGAAGCATGGAGTCTTAACCACTTGACTCCCAGGGAATCACTGAATCATTGAACTCCCAGGGAGTCACTGAATCACTGAACTCCCAAAGTTGCAGTCTTTTAATTACCTGAACAAAGAATGACATCCCATCCCTTTTCCACATTCTTTCCTCCAGAAGCCAGTTATTAAGTCTGGGCCATCTTCATGGGGATTAAGTTCCACTTATTGAGGGGAAGAGGATCAGAGAATTTGTGGGCATATTGTTAAAACCATCGCATCCCCCTACAGTCAGGGTCAGATTTGTCACAGTCAATACTCACTGTAACCACAGGTAACTTTTGGTTATGCTGCTAATCCAACAGGTTCATTTATTTCCTTTAAGGTTTTTTTTATTTATAGAGGTTGCTTTTTTCATTTTTGACCTAATTTTGTTTAATTATATGAAATTACAAAGTATGAGTATCTTTAAATGTTTCCTCTATGACTGTTAAGATTTCCAAGAAAGATGTCTTATGATTTTCTGCCTGGAGTAAGCGGCTGGCTGCCAGCATTCTGCACCCTGGAGCAGGGCTGGGGTGGCGGTAGTTACTTTTTACTCTGTACATGATCACAGTCTCCCCTTTTAAAATGCTCCACATGTCCTTAACTCTGCAGGTTAACCAGGAACCCAAAGACCATGTTTTCTCCTCCCCAGAAAATAAATCTCTAGTCCCAGGTGGGAGAGGGCATTGCATACAAAGAGCAGTGTGTTTCTCAAATACCAGCACATCAGAACCACCTAGTAACTT